GTGTCTGAGGAAGGAATGGGGCCTTCACCCCTCTGCCTTGTGTAAGCAGATGTCTGATTCCTGGGAAGGGGAGAATTGAGGATAGAGTTTTGGGCCACTAGGATTAAGTCCCAAACCCTGTGGATTGGAAAGATGAGCCCCAAGAAGGAGGTCTAGGGCAGGAAAGGGGTGTGCGATTAAGGACAGGCCCCAGTGCACTCGGGTGTGAGATGAGGTCCTGGGAAGAGGCTGAAGTTGTAGATTCAAGGATCTCAGAGGTGCAATGCTAGGGCTTGGGATGCTTCCTTGCTAAGGCCTTAGGGCACTGGTGGCCATGTCCTAGGGCGCCCATGGCCAGCTGTAAGCGCGGGAAGTCGTGGGCCAGGTGCCTAGCACACCTTGGGTATCAGGAAGCCGGGGAAGGCGATGACGTCAGTGAAGCACCGCCCCTCGTGGATCACGGCGTCGGCGTAGGGCGTGGCCATGCGGTCCTCCAGTGTGAGCTGTCGCAAGCTTCGATCTCTTCCTGCACGCGGGCTGGAGGCAGAGGAGGGAAGGCGGGGAGGGGTTCGGTGGGGCTCTGGGGGTGGGACTTCCGGCTGCTGCTGGGATGCTGGGCGGGGCCTCCAGGACCTGGCTGGTTGGCTGATGGGTACCGTGGACAGTGCGCGCGTGTGAGTGCCCTGGGTGAGGCTGGATCCATTCAGAGTCTGGGCTTAGGAAGGTGGGGAGGGCGGACAGGGCTTTGTGGGTAGAGCAAGACAATGGAGGGGGGAATTGTGTTTTGGACTTGCTCAGAGGCGGGGCCTGGGGTGTCCTAGGTAGGGTTAGAGGCGTGTCTTGTCAGGGCTGACCACCCCCAAAGGGGTGAGGCCATGCATGGGCGTGGCCAGGCCAGACCAATACACATCTCATCTTCGAAGGGCGTGGTCAGGTGGGGGCGTGGCCCAAAGGCTCAATGTTGATTATTCTCTGTGGGCTATTTCTAGTAGTGTTTAAATCCTGGGAACCATCGCCCCCACTCCCACCCTCCTACCCCTCCACCCCCCCAGCGCAGCCTTCACCCAACTCACTCTGCTGACTGACCTCGCCCCAGGGGCTGCTCATGATCTGGAAGTTGTCCTTGATGAAGCGGATAATGGCCAGCAAACTCGTCGCTGTCATCAAAACGGTGGCCGAAGATCACAGAACAGATGATGTTGGCTGCAGAGCGGCTGAGCAGGAACACTGGGTGGAAGGGCTCACCTAAAGCGCATGCATGGCCGCACCCCTTTGGAGAAAGTCAGCCTGACTCTCCCTGTTTGCTCCAACATTCAGGGATGGCAGACCGTGCTATGACTTTGTGACAAGTGACACTAATGGCTCCTCTCCTGTCTCCTTGTCCCACCAGGCAGTGAAAGCAGCCAGTACCAGAGCCTGAACCCCACTGAAAATCTGAAAGTATTTGGGAGTTGTTTACTCTGTCATATTATGACATACACACACAGGGCTGGAGAGATTTGATTACTGCCCGGAAGACAGACTGCCTGTAGAACTGGAAAGCTCTGGAAAGAGCCAGGGTGGTGGGGCTCAGGCCCGAAGCTGTCAGCAGCGCCTCTGACAATAATGTTTTTCCTCTCTGGTAGGGTGACAATAATGATTGTCACAGTAGCAGTGGAAGTGATGCACTGAAGGATTGTAGAAAACCCAAGGCAAGCCCTGTCTCCAGATTCTTCCTCTAAATCACTGAATGAGGAAGCTTTTGTCCACTGCCGTAGGAGTCTCCTCCATTCTATTGCCACAGGGTGTTAATTACACACAAAGTTCATTGTGTAGGTTGCAGAATTATATCAGAAGTTGAAATCACATCCCCACCCAAGTCCCCTTTTGCCTTTTTAAATCTTTATATTTAAATGTCAGTAGCAGAACTTAAGTTCAAGACCTTGTGCTTTGGCTTAGATTTATTTATTTTTGTTTTGCTCATGGTTGGCACTCTGCCAATTGAGCCACACCTCTACTTCTAGCTTTTTATTGGTTTACTGGAGATAAGTCTTGCATATTTGTCTGCTTGGACTGGCTTCAGACCACAACCCTCAGATCTCAGCCCCTTGAGTAGCTAGGAGTAAAGGCTCCTCTCTAGAAGTTTTCTTGATCTCCATACCACAAACAACATTATTAGACTTTCTTTCTTTTTTTCTCTCCCTCCCTCTCTCTTGCTCTCTGTCTCTGTCTCTCTGTCTCTCTCTCACACACACACACTTTCCTCTTTCTTGTACTTCTTATTTCATGTGACAATATCTATTGCTAGACAGGCAGTGGTGGCTCAGGTTTCAGGTAGGTGTGTGTGTGTGTGTGTACCAGTCTTGGGGCTTGAATTCAGGGCCTAGGTGCTGTTCCTGACCTTTATCAGTCAAGGCTGGTGCTCTACCACTTGAACCTCACCCCCACTTTTGGCTTTTTTTGGTGGTTCACTGGCAATAAAGTCTCTTAGACTTCCAAACAAGCCTGGCTTTGAACCTGGATCTTCAGATCTCAGCCTCCTAAGTATCTAGGATTATAAGTGTGAGCTACCAGTGACCAATTGTTTATTTTCTTAATGATGGCCATTCTGACCATGGATAGGTAATACCAGTGTCATTTAACTCAGCCAAGACAGGTTAGAATCTATTAGAAAGATAATTGGATTGGAAATTCCAGGAAAGGGCAAGTCACAGAACACATTGTGCAGGTCCAGGGCACAGGAGATGCATTTCCATCCCCAAGTATTTCTCTCTGAACCCACAGTGGATAAAGGTACAGGATGGATGTAGGATGACAGGCAAAGGGAAAGTGACGGTGGAGGAGAAAGATAAACTATTCCCTAGATAGACATTCACTACCAAGCTCACAGGCCAGGCTTCCAGGTGTGGGGGTGTCAGCGCGGGAGCACCCGCAACTTGAAAGGCCTGGGTACATTGCCCAGCCCAGAGCTGAGCGGGGTCAGGTCGATGTCTTCGGGCGCCCCCAGCGGCTGCAAGGTGAAACGCTGCAGGATGGCAGTGAAGTAGAGGAAGAGTTCCATTTTGGCCAAAGGCTCCCCCAGGCACAGCCTTCGTCCTGCAGGGGTGGAGAGCGGAGGGCCAGGAGGAATTAAGGTGAATTAAGAGGGGTGAGGGACTGCACCTCTCCCCCTAAAACTCCCAGAGAAAATCCTGAGGTAGAAAGATGCTTGGAGAAAATGGAGCAAGTGCAAATTCAAACACAGCTGTTCCAGGTTTAAATATTGATAGTGTCAGAGCTAACTTTTGTGTTCTTGGAAAAGGCACAATTTCTGGGCTGTGTGTGTGTGTATGTGTGTGTGTGTGTGTGTGTGTGTGTGTGCTTGTGCTGAGACTAGGGCTTGAACTCAGCTCCATGAAGTAGTCAGTTGCCATTTTCCCACAAGGCTGGCTCTCTACTATTTGATCCACAGCTCTTCTTCCAGCTTATTTGCTGGTTAATTACAGCTGGCTTTAAACTATGATCCTCCAGATCTCAGCCTCCTAAAGAGCTAGGATTACAAGTGTGAGCCACCAGGGCCTGACTTATTATCTGTCTTTTTATGGGTGTGGCAGTTGAGGCTCAGAGAAGAGAAGTAAGAAATCCAAGGCCACACAAGCAGGACAGAAATGGGGTGCAGACCCTCTGGGTGTGAGCTCAGCTCTCACCCTCTTTCCTGGTAATCCCTCTCAGGTAGGGTCTGGCACACACTACTGAATATGGTCATTTATTATTTTTCTCCTTGCTACAGAGTAAATGGGGATTTCTCCCCTAAAAGCAGGAATGAGCCAAAACAAAGCACCAAAGCTGGCAGTACTTCAACTGTGCCTTGTAGAGACAGAGCTTTTAAGAGTTGGGAGAGTGACTATCTATGCATTCACGGATAAGCATAGGGTGAGATGGAGAAGCAAGAGAGTTTATGGAGTGAAGTTAGAACTAGGGCTGAGACAGGTGCTGGAGGCTCTGCCTGTAATCTTAGCTACTCAAGAGGCTGAGATCTGAGGATCCTGTTTCAAAGCCAGCCAGAGCAGGAAGGTCCATAAAGCACTCTCTCTCTCTCTCTCTCTCTTTCTTTCTCTCTCTCTCCCTCCCTCCTTCCCTCTCCCCTCTCTCTTTTGTTAGTTGTAGGGCTTGAATTCTGGGCCTGGGCACTTCCCCTCAGCTCTTCAGCTCAAGGCAAGTGCTCTATCACTTGAGCCACAGCCCCACTTCTGGTTTTCTGGTGATTAATTGGAGATAAGAGTCTCATGGACTTTCCTCCTCTGGCTGGTTTTGAACCGTGATCCTCAGACTCAGTCTCCTGAGTAGATAGGATTACAGGAGTGAGCCACCAGTGTCCCTTAAAACTCTTATCTCCAGTTAACCAGCAAAAAGCTGGAAGTGGATCTCAAGTGGTAGAGTGCCAGCACTGGAGGTAAGACCAAGTGAGAACAAAGGCCCTGAGTTTAAATTCCGGTTCAACCCTTCCCCCCCCCCCAAACCACCACCAAACAACACCAACAGTAACAACAAACAACAAAAACCCTAAGATTTGGAGACTGACTTATGGGCTTACCAGCTGAGAAGGGCATGAAGGCTGGACTCTTCTTGAAGGACTGATTGGCATCTAGGAAATGCTCAGGATTGAACTCCTGGGGTGTCTTGAACT